CAGAGTCTGAGTCCCAAAGACTATGGTGTGAAAACAGCTCCATCAGCCTGACCTATTCCCTCTGCCTTGTCTCTCCCTCTCCCCTCAAGGCTCAAATCAGTCCTGAACCCGGGCTAGGAAACTATATCCTGCTGCCATCTTTCACTTCTATGGTTCTGTCATCTTCATCCCCAGGTTCTGGTCCCCAGACTGTGTCCTTATAAATCCAATTCCGCCATACCTGTCAGTTCCAGAACAAGGATGAGTATGAGGGTGGGGATGGGTGGAACAGACCGCCGACCAGCAGAGGTGACTCTGAGCTCCACTAATAAGCAAACAAGCACCATTCCTAAATATTCAACAACATGGCTTCAGTTAAATATACTACAGCTTACCCATATAAAACAGTACTGTGCAAGCTTTTAAAAAATATTTTCTGGTATGGGGAAATGATTACAATATTCTGTTACATTAAGGAGCAAGAGGTTTTTTTCCGGTGAAATGCTACAACATGGATGAACCTTAGGACATCATGCTGAGTGAAATAGCCTGACACGAAAGGGCAATTATGGTATGATTCTATTTATACGAGGCATCTAAAGTAGTCAGACCCAGAGAAACAGACAGTAGATGGTGGCTGCCTAGGAGGAGGGAGAGATGGGGAGTTGTTGTTTAATGGGTACAGAGTTTCAGTTTTGTAAGATGACAAAGTTCTGGAGATCTGCTGAGGAACAGTGTCAATATAGTTACCACTCCCAAACCGTACACTTAAAAATGGGTAAGATGGTGAATATTTTTTGAAAAGGCAAAAGACTTTTTTTTCAAACTAAACCACAAACTACAGCAAATCCCCAAGATTCTCTGTTTATCTAGAGATGTGACAGTGAATAAGAACAGTTCTTGCCCCAGATCTCAGGGAGCTTACACTCCAGTGGGGAGACCCGTGGATGAGGAATGTACATGAATAAACATAACATTACAAGAACAAGGAGTGTTCTGAAGGAGCTGCACACGGTGCTCTGAGAATGTTAAATCACAGCACTGACCTGGCCCAGGAGGCGAGGAGGTGAGGTGAGGACCCCAGGACCGAGTCCCAGGGAAGAGGAAGAGCTCCCTAGCAGGTGGGGACACAGGGAATTGCCCTCTGGAGGGAGAGAATGGATGCATCCTCTTATGAGTGTCTGCAAGGACACACACTCCCCCTGACCAGCAATTCTCTCCAAGTGGCGGGGTTATCACTGCGCCTCATCTTCTCCCTGCACGTGTCTGTGGTACAACTTTTCCACGGTGAGCGTGGATGATTTTGCTGTTAGGAAGAGGCGTAGGAAAATGATCTTCCTGCACAGATGGATAGCAGTGCTCTTTATTTATTTATGTTCTTCCTTGTTTCAAAGAGGATCTCAAGCTGCTTACAATTATGTTAACAATACAGCAGGCTAAAATACCTTGTCACTAAGTAAGAAAAATGAGGGGAAGCAAAACACGGCTGGAAGAGTCCGATGAGAAAGGCGGGAGGCTTCCCTTCACTCAAGAGGGGGCGGCCCTGTCGTGTTCCTCGTCCCGTCCAGTCTCACCATTTAATTCAAACGTGGACATTTGTCTTCTCAGCTGCATTGAGAGATCTTTCACAGTGATTTCCTCTGTCTGTTATGACTCTCTCTCCCTGAAAATATATCCTTTTATTTTTCTGTTGTGCATATTTGTGGTTTTAAAAAAGCCACATCGTCCCTTCCCCACCGGGATCCAGCGCAGCACAGGGAGGTACTCAGAGCCCCCGCACAGTTGGTCTTCGAGTGTCTGTGAGCAGGTGGCTTCGTCGGGACAGAGGGCGACTCACACCCTCTCCCCGAATCATGCAGCCGGCGACACACCCTCAGCTCAGGCTCAGGACACAGTTGCCAATTTGATTTATGGGACTTATTATCCCAAGTGGTGGCAGAGAATAGATATTGATTCAAAAGGGTTTAAATAAATAAGTGGATGCACAATCCAGAAAGGGCTATAGACTGAGGAGAGGGGCTTGCACCGCCGCTGAAGCAGACTCATGAAAAAAACACTGGTTCTCTTGAAGACTGGGCCTCAGGGAGTCATGGAGGGACGGGGATGGGCTGTGGAGTCAGCAAGCACAGGTTCCCAGCAGGCTCCATCGCATCACCTGACGAGGGGGTGACCTTGGACAAATCACAGAAACAAGACCTTTTGTGAGGACTGCTGAGAGGAACGGATCTGATGTGTACATTTGTGTATGCATATGTGTGTACGTGTACACACATACTTACAATGCATGTGTGTAAGCATGTATATTCACATGCGTATGTGTGTGCATATGTGTATAGGTGTATGGATGTGTGTGTATGTTTACGCGTGTATATGTATGTATATGTGTAAGTGTGCATGTGCGTATACATAGATGTGTGCATGCATGTGCCTGTAGAAGCACATATACATGTGAATGCATGTGTATGTGTGCATGCATGTGCGTGTGCATGCATGTATATGTATGTATATGTGTAAGTGTGCATGTATACCTGTATATGCCATACACATATGTATATATATGCATGAATATACATGTGTGCACGGTGTGTGTGTATACACGTGTACATGCATGTATATATGCGTATGTGTATATGTATGCATGTATATATGTGTATGTATTTACATATGGATATGGCTCATGCCCTGGCACTTAGTAGTTGCTCAGTAAATGAAAATTCCCTCTTGTAACACTGTCCTTCTATTCCATTTGTGCAGCAGTGAGCAACCTGAGATAAGAATATATAGAGCATTTCTAAAGCTCCCCCATAACACTCCATATAGTCATCCCAGGTTTTTTCATCCTCACTGGCTCAACACTACCACAATCACCAGCAACAGTAAGTTTCCCTTTTTAAATCACTTATAGTATATTCCATTTACTGTGGCTGCATAACAAATTCCCTCAAAATATAGTGGCATAAAACAACCATTTAATTTGCTCATGGATTTTGTAGATGGAGAATTCAGAGAGTGTTAGAGGGGGTGTTTGGTTTCTGCTCCATGATGTCTGAGGCCTCAGCTGGGGGACGTGAAGGCAGGGGCTAGAGTCATCTGCAAGCTCCTTTCCTCACATGTCACTGGGGGATGCTGGTTGTTGGCTGAGAACCGAGCTGGGGCTGTCGCCTGAGCACCTGCGTGTGGCCTCTTGGCTCCCACATGATATGGTGGCTGGCTCCGAGGGAAGTGTCGCGAGAGAGGGTGCCCAGTGAAAGCTGTATCACGGTTTATGACTTAGCTTTGGAAATCACACAGTGTCACTTCCACCACATTTTATTGGTAAGGTGGTCACAGAGCTCTGCCAAGGTCGAAGGACACAGATGCCCCTCTTGATGGAGGAGTGTTGATATCACATTGTAAGGGGAGAATGTGGGATGGGATGCATGTTGGCATGGCCATCTTTGGAAAATACAACCTGCCCATCTGCTTAGGTGATCTCTTATTTTTCAATTTTTTGTTTTTAAAAATAGGTATAATTATCTCCACTCTAGAAAAAGACAGACTGGGATTCAGAGATACAATGTAACTTCCCTTGGGCACTTTATTTAACCTCTCTGAACCTCAGTTACTCCATCTATAAAATGGGTAGAAAAATCTCTACCTGAATAGATTGTTATGGGCCAGCTGTGTTTATTACGTTAGGGTGTTGAAAGTTTGGAGTTGGGAAGGTATTTGTGATTTCTAACAGCCTGTGTTAATGCAGAGCACTAATCTTTATTGTAGCATTGTTATTTCCTTGCCCTTCACGCATTGCCCCACAGCCAGCTAGGGACCTGAGTTCTTCTCCACATCCCCTTGAGAACAGAGCTTGTCCCAGCATTTAGGACGGGGGCTCACTTGTGTGCAGAAGAGCTTACAGTCCCCTTCCTTGCCTGTTTCCATCTTCTGAGAGGAAAAGTACCCCGTGAAGAATGCTAATGTTTGCTTATAAATTCTAAATGTGTAACCCTTAATTACTCATTCAGTCAATTATGAGCAAGTAGCTCTTTGGTCCTACTTAAAAATGCCTCTGTTTCGCACATGGTGTCTCTCTCCCCCAGGGGAGCGGGAGGAAGGACTGGCATTTTTGCTTTAGTTCATGGTTCCCAGAAGGACTCTCTGGCTCCTGGATGGGCCAAGGACTATCTTGGAAAACCATTCCTCTGGGGATTCAAAACCATTCCTCTGGGGATTCATTCCAGGCCCGGTGTCCTTCATTGTTTATCTACCTGCGAGGTCTAAGGCCTTAAGAGACCCCCTTGCTGCTCACTTGCCATTTTGAGAGGAACAAATCTCTGCCCATGACCCCAAACTACTTCGACAGTCTCTGGGAGGCCGCTTGGCGGAGCAGGCTGTCCCTGGACCTGGCTGGCTGGAGCAGCTGTGGAGGCCTCCCTGCTTTTAGCTTCTGCTTGGCTGGGCTTTAAAAGGTGGGTTTCTCTTCCTCTGCCTCAAATCTCTGTTATCCCTAACACTCATCATTACCCTCAGCAAAATTAGTTTAAAAAAATCCCAATAACGTAGTTGGGAAAATTGAGGCTCAGAGAGGTGCTGTGACCTGCCCAGGGTCACATGGCATGTAAGTGCCAAAGGCTCAGGAGGGTTTGGATGCTCCTGTGGGAATATGCCAGCCCCCTAGTAGCTGATAAGCCCAACCCCTTGGAGCTCTAACTCCTCCTCCCTCCCTCGTGTCAACAAAAGGAAAATCATTTCCTATTCCTGGCTTCTCTGCCTGCCCAGAGAGACTGAGTGACGAAGAAATATCTCTAAATGTGCCAGGATGGTCTTTCCCGGCTTCTCAGTTTTGCTCAGTCTTTTGTTGTTCAAAATCTGTTTCCTACAGACCCTGGAAATTGCAGGTGTGGGGGCCTGGGGAACAGCTGCCCTTGTCTCCTGGGCTTGGAACCGACTCTCTGGAGTTTGTGTCCCGGGGCTGTGTGCTCAGACTTGACCATGTTTGGGCATGGAGGCTTGTCCCAGATGGGGACCAAAGGCCGCTTTCCCAGAGATGGGCTGGGAGCCCAAGCTTCCTGCTGCAGTTCAGGCAGCCTCTTTTGGGGTGGGGGCTGGGGGCCAGGCCAAAAGTCTCTGCCTGCTGAAGACTCCCGGGCACCAGAAACTGTGAGTACTGCGTCCAGAGCACTTGGGCAGTGGTTTCTCCAAAGCCTGGAGCTAGAGCGGAGATCTTGGAGGAGGGAGGCTGGCAGTGGGAACTCGCTTCCTAGGGAAGCCCATCCCGGTTCTGGGCTCCAGAGCGGCTCAGCCAAGACTAGACCTGCTGGTGTTTGGTCCCGTGGTCTGGTGGCCTGCCCCATGGCTGGGTCACTTGAGTAGCTCAGTGTCCTCGTACTCAGGTCCCAGCTTCCAGAGCAGCCAGAGGGCAGAAGGCTGGACAGCAGGACCCAGTCCTGGCCCTTGTCCCCAGGGGACAAAAATAGGCTCAGCAAGAGCACTGGGGACTTCGGCTCCAAACCTTCAGGACTCCCTTTGTTAATAGTAACAGCCAATATTTACTGAGAGCTGGCGTTGGGCCAGACACAGGATCAATATGTGATATTTGGTATGTCACTTGATCTTTGTCAGAACTCTCTGAAGCACATACTATTATTCTTGTGTAACAGCCACACCGTTGCTATGTGGCAAAGTCAGGATTTGATCCCAGATCTGCTGACCTCAGAATCCTCCCTGCCCTACACTCTATCAAACCCTTGAACACTATACTCTGTGCTCTGTCCTTCTAAGGAAAAGAATGTCAACCAAAATGCCAGGTCCTATCTTCTTTCACCTTTCTCCATCTTTCCTAAATCCACCCCAGATGTTGAGTGACTTTTCTAAATGGAAGATAAGAGCCAAAAAGTTCAGAGATATTCAGCAACTCTCAAAATCGAGAAGTTCTTCTTGGAGTCTAACTGAAATCCCTACTGTTAGGGCTACCATCCCTTTCTTCCTGTCCAGGCCTCAGGGGACATCAGCAGTGCATACCCTTCCTCCTGCCTGAAGGCTCTCACTGTGGTTGTTAAATCCTGTATCCATACCCATATCCTCACCCCATTCTTTGATCCTGTGAGGTTTTAGGAGCGTTGATCATGACTCTGCAAAGCCACTCACTCAGTGTAGGCAATAATCTCCCCAGAGCATTACAGACAGGTGGGTTCTGAGCAAGCGGCAGGGTTCAGACTTCTCTGTGACAGGGGAGCCTTTCCTCTCCTCCCCTCTCCGCTCCTCCTGACTTCCCAGAGCTGGTCACACAGCACCCCTGCCTTCCCAGCATCTAGAGTGCCCAGGGCTGGGAGGACTGAGGGGCCTGAAAGGTAGGGCACACGCTGAGGGCAGCTCTCGAGTGCACCCCACGCTCCAGGAAAGAACTCAGCCCACCTAGCTGGATGGGGGCCCCCGCTGCCCCTTCTCTGCTTGCTGCCCCCAGCCCAGCCAGCCTTGCCCAAGGATTGTTAACTGGGAAATGCTCCAGGTTTTTCTGAGACGAGTGGCCTAGGAGAAAGTGCTCAGATGTCCCACCCCTACTGCCCACTGTATTCATTTATCTCCTGTATTCCTTTTCTATTGTTGCCGTAACAAATCACCACAAACTTGGGAGTCCCAGATAACAGAAATCTCCTCTCACATAGTTCTGGAAGCCAGCGAGGTGTCGGTAGGGCTGAAATCAAGGTGTCGGCAGGGCTCATTCTATCCAGAGGCTGAGAGGACAATCCACTGTTCCTTGTCTCCTCTGGCTTCTGGTGGCGGCTCATACTTCCTGGCATGTGGCCACATCGCTCCAATCTCTCCTCCCTGGTCATATCACCTTCTCCTCTTCTGTGTCTCCTCATCTCCCTTTGCCTCATTCTTGTAAGGACCCTTGTGATTACATTTAGGGTCCAATGGATAATGCAGGATAATCTCCCCATTTCAGGATCCTTAAATTAAGGTCTTTGCCATGTAAAGTACCACTCACAGATTCCAGGGCTGAGAATATGGACCTCTTGGGGGCCATTACTGAACCTATCACATACTGTGTGGCCTTGGACAAATCACGCTACCTCTCTGAACCACAGATCCTTCAACTGTAGAATGGGGATGATAACACTTGCCTCTCAGAGTTGATGGGAGGTTTACATGGGGTCAAAAAGCCCTCAGAGGTTGCAAAGCTCTATAGCAAACTAGAGGTGATGTTGATCACTGAGCACCCTCCCGTCTTCCCTGTCCCCACTTCTGTGGGTTACTCGTCGCCTGTGCTGATCTGTCTGTTTGCCTCTGTGGCTCTAGAAATGACCACTGCTTGCAGTGGACATGGGGAAGAAGCTGGTGATGGCCCAGAAGCGGGGAGAGACTCGGGCCCTTTGCCTGGGTGTGGCCATGGTGGTGTGCGCTGTCATCGCCTACTATATCCTGGGCACGACCATGCTGCCCCTCTACCAGAAAAGGTACGGAACTCTCCCTGCCTGCCCCCATCCTCCAGCCACTCTCCTACGGATCTGGTCTACCAGGAACCCCAGCCTTCTTCCTACCCCTCCCCTTGACTTCACACCAGGCAGGAAGGGCTGGACAATCATTCTGAGGGTGAAGGGTTCGAGTCTTGGAATCTTAACTGAAATCCCTCAGGGAGGGTAGGCCCGACTGGACCCCGCTCATCTGGGGTTCTGGGACTTGGGGGTAGCAGACATAGGAGGCCCTTCTCACAAGAAGCAGCAAAGGATCAGAGTAAATGCCCCAGTGTGAGTTTGATCCCAGGAGAAATTGGAGATTATAGATTTTCATAGCTTGTCTGCACAGTCTGAAATCTCGTCGCCAGGTGGGCATCTAGTCTCCTGTTGAATATCTCAAGGGATGGGGAGCTCAAGACCTCACTGTAGATACCATTTCATTTGGGGGCTTTTCTGAGAAGTAGGAAATGTCTACACTGAGCCAAAACTGCTCCCGTGGAGCTCTGCTCTGGAATCTCAGAGAATGTTTCTTGCTCCCTGACATGTCAACCACTTGAGCTTTTAAAGGGAAAGCTGTGACGTTCCTGATCCGTTCTCTATTTGGAACAAACGTGCTCAGTTCTCTCAACCTGTTTTTCGAGGCCAAGTCTCCAACCCTCGCCTCGGGGCTTATTCCAGCCGCTGACAGCCCCTCCATCTGGCACTGTGTGTCCTGCCTGATAAATGCGAGATGAGTCACAATTGATTCGCTGATGTGTTGATGAGCCTGTTAGCCTCTCCTGGCCCTGCTTCTTCCTCACTTTTTATAACCCTGGAGTGATTCCAGGTTGGAATCTTACCCAAGGGAGGCTCTGTTCAGAACTGCTGTATGCCTGTGACCCGTTATCTCCTGGTTAGGCACCATCCCCACCCGCTTCCCTGCCCAGGCACAAATCAAGCCCCTTTTGCATCTACTCTTTTTTGGGGAAAAGGCACAGATTCTGTAGCTCATCAGACTTGCTCTCAGGTCCTGTGTGGCTTCAGAAAAGTCACTTGACCTCTCTGAGTTTTTCCTCCCCACCCCCTGCAAGGTGAGGATGATATGGATAAAGGGTCTTGGGGTCGGGCTATTTAGCAGAATCAAGGCAGGGAGCTTTTAAGAACATATCAGGGCCTGAGCCTTGCCCACCTTAGAAATTCTGATTCAACTCTTCTGGGGTGTGGCTTGGACATGGGAACCTTTTCAAAAGTTCCCCAGGGTTTTGGGTCAGCAGCCAGGGTGAGAACCATTTATGTAGATGATGTCTAAGAGGCTAATAATCATTGATATTCTGATTCTATGGTTCTTTTCTTGGGTCCAGTGACTCTGGGGTCGTACTCCTTCAGTGCTAGATGCTTATGGCAAGATGAGGATCCCAGCCCTAGGTCTCTCTAAAGGGGTTGAAAGCTGGTGTTCGGTGCCACCCAGGTTCTGAGATATGTGTGTGCATGGTCTCCCCAGCGTGTGGACCCAGAAATCCATGTGCCATCTGATTGAGACCAATATCAGGGAGCAGCAAGAACTGGAGGGCAAGAAGGTGCCCCAGTACCCGTGCCTGTGGGTCAACGTGTCAGCTGTGGGCCGGTGGGCTGTGCTGTACCACACAGAGGACACTCGGGACCAGAACCAGCAGGTACTGACTGGGGGTTGGGGGGGGATGGGCATGTGTCCCCTTGCCCCTGGCAGGTGTGTGGGCCTCTTCCCAGCTGAATCCCCATCCCGGCTCTGGGGAGTGGGAGCTGAGAAAGCCGAGCCTACTTGACAAGGGTTCACAGCTGGTATGAGGTCCAGCCAGACTCAGCAGCTCTGGGTTGGAGTCAGAGAGACCTGGGTTTGAATCCCCACTGTGCCACTAAGTGCCGTATGACCCGGATGCCACCTTTGCCGAAGTGCTCTGATGGACTCAGAGGCTGTGTGGTGTGCTGGGCTCCATGTCAGGTGGATGGCAGGCACTTCTATAAGGTGAGTCAAATGAGAGGCCAGACCTAGAGCTGACCCCAGAGAGAAGAACCCCTGAGACTGGCCCCCCCTCGGTGAAACCAGAGGCTCAGGCCTGAAGCAATCTCTGGAGGCCTGTGCTTGGGAGATTTTCCCATCACTGCCTCTCCACACCACTGCCCCCCAGCCCCCCATCCTGTCCTTTCTTCCAGAAAATACAAGTTGGCTGTATCCATTGATTCATTTACTCATTCATCCAGTAGTCACTGAGCACGTCCTGTGTTAGGAGCTCTGGACTCAGGAGGAGAGAGCTCATGTGGGAAATAATATCTAGTGGGGAGGGATCAGTGCCACAGAGAGGAACAGACAAAATCATGCGGTTAAAGGCGGGAGTGACTTTTTCCAGCCAACAGCCAGGTGAAGGTGTCCGAAAAGTGTTTGGGTCAGGCTTTGTTAGATACTCCGAAACATGAGGGCAGCTTGCCTGGTGAGGGGAGGGCAGAGACCAGGGCGCGGCGGCAGGAAGGGCCTAGAAGAGACGGGACTGGGAGGGATGCTGCCATCACCGACACAGGGTATGGTGGGGCGGGGGGAGGCTGCACAGGTGGGCTCCACACGACCCGATTATGGAAGCAGAAAGCTTTTGGCCTGTGGTAGGTTTTTGTTTGTTTTTTTGAGAGAAGCAAAACCTTAATGAAGAATGCTACAAGTTATGGATAATAATTCATTCCCATATTTAAAAATAAGATTATAGCAAGCACTTTACAGATTTTTTTTTTTTTGCTCAAACGGTAGTCTTTAAGGATGTCTGAGTGAGACAGCAGACACAATGCAGTAGGCCGGGAGAAGTATGTGTTGAATTCCAGGGCAAGACACAGCCCAGCACCGTTAGGGAAGCAGGTGGAGGAAGCCGTCCCACAAAGCATGGAGTTAGGCGTTTATGTTCAATCAGGATTTTTTTTTTAAAGCTTTGAAAGTCCAGCATGAAGAAGAGAATTGGGGGAAGGGCTAAGCTTATCTACAACCACCGTTTTACCAAAAGCCACACTGGTTCAACCTCATGAGAAGTGGGGGTGATCTGCCTGAGCAGCAAGCGTAGGAAGAGCGAACGCCAAGGCAGTCAGCACTCTGATCCCACCAGGACGGGTCTCTCACCAACCTGGGCTCAGAACACTCGAAGTTCCTTTGTGATTCTATCAGAAGGCCAGAGCTTTATCTGGAACAAGTTCACTCCGAAGAACGCTCATGGTGCTGACTGTAGCAGGGAGTCGAGTCATAAGTGGCTCCTAACTGATCCACCGTTTCCCATAGCATTTCCCAAGGGAAGGTTCTACTGGGTCCCAGGAATTTAAATTCAAGGAGACCGTAAAGAACCATATAGAAAGGAAGTGCTAATGATATTCTGGCAACATACGAGCTGTGTGCCCGTAATCTTTGCAAGGACTACCGAATTATGGAATTAAAACGTGACTGAGCAAGCTAGCCCTGCTCAACTCTGGCCGTGCACTGGAACCATCTGGGGACTGAACAAAACTGGGTTTCTACACCAGCCCAACTGATGCAGAATCTCGGGACTCTCCAGGGGATTCTGAGGTTTAGAATTACTTCTGTGAGCAACCAGGAGTATTTAAAGGGTCTGTGGGCCTGGTGCATGATCAGAGTGATACAGAGGAGTGTGAAGTTCAGTGGCTGGGCAGAGAGGGCTGGGGACATGGCCAACAGCCAGGATGGAGATTGGGCCTGCAGTAGGGATGGATGCCAACGGTCAGAGTTTGGCAGTTGATGGGACGGGAAGGGCAGGGTGCCGAGGGTGCGCAGTAGGATTACTGACGGTGTTGGGGGTCACGGAGAAGTGGGTCTGGACAGTGCAAGGGGTCCAGACCTGTTATGTCAACACTAGCATGACTCAGCTCCACCAGATGGGGGTAGAGCCTCCAAATCCCCCTGAATCAGCTCCTACCAGGTCTCCTGCTTCTTCTTTGGCATTTGATGGCTGCTGATTTATCCCAAGGAGGAAGAAATAAATTTCCAAAATCAAGCCGAAGCGATCACACAACTTGGACCTGGTGGCTGAATCCAGGTCTCTCTGGCTCCACAGCCACACCTTTGCTCAATGGGGTCGGTTACCCAAAGTCATAGTCAGAGGCACTGGGGCGATAGGCGAGGTCCTCTCTGCGTGGAATAGTCCTCTATAGCCAGGACTCCAGCTGGGCCCCTGCCTCCAGGCGAGCGGCTCCTGGGCCGCCCCCCTCACACGTGGCACTGGGAAGGAACCCTCTAGAACCAGGCAGTGCACAGCCTGCCAAGCTTTGACAGACCTCACTCCCACCTGGAGGCCCGACTCCAAAGCCAACACCTTTCTTTCCTTCATGCAGGCCCCTCATTTCTCCCAGAGAAACCGGGATTTCCGACTTCATGGGTGCTCTTGCCTTCCCCCCCACAGTGCTCCTACATCCCAGGCAGCCTGGAGAACTACCAAGAGGCCCGGGCCGATGTGGAGAAGGTCAGGGCCACACTCCACAAGAAACAGATTTTCTACTGCTTCTCAACAAGTCGGGAGAATGAGACCAGTGTCCTGTACCAGCGCCTCTATGGGCCCCGGACCCTTCTCTTCTTTCTCGTCTGGCCCACCTTCCTGCTGACCGGAGGTCTCCTCATTATCGCCATGGTGAAGATCAACCAGTGCCTTTCCATCCTGGCGGCTCAGAAGTAGACCTATCCATGGCACGGAGCTGCGGGGGCTGCAGGGGACTGGGTGGGCCCCAGGTGGCTCCCTACTTGTGTAGCCCTGCCCCCTCCCCCTGCCTTCTCACTGTTCCGCTCCGACCCATAACAACCTCTGCTACCTGGATGGGCTTTGGGAAGTCCCTTTGTTATGTCATTCCTGATTAAGAATGTACACGGGTTCCCTGGTGCTTCAGAGAGTTCAAGGCCGGCTGGTAACAGCTTCCCATTACCTGTCCCCGCTCAGCTGACTGAAACCCACTTCCTGCTGCGCCCCCACCAGCCCACAGACAGCAAGGATGCTCGTCTCCGTGCCCGCATTCTCGTGGTCGGCTCAAAGGCCTACCTTTGTCATCCTTGGCAGACCTCACTTCTTTCTTTGAATTCCATAATGAAAACCACAGCAGCTCCCATGTATAGAGAACATTTAGAATTTGCTTGTAGGACACTAGGTGCTATGTACGTTTTTATTCCAATATTAACAAATATAGGTACAAACTTCCAGTTGCAAAATACTGAAGTCCTGGGGCTATAACGGACAGCATGGTGACTATAGTTAGCCACAGTGTACCGTGTAGTTGAAAGTGGCTAAGAGAGGAGATCTTAAAGGTTCTCAACCCAAGAAAAGAAATCTATAACTGTGTACGGTGACAGATGTTAACTAGATTTACTGTGGTGATCATTTTGCAATATATATATAGATATCAAATTATTATGCTGTACACCTGAAACTAACGTAATGTTATATATCAATATCTCAATAAAAATATATATGTGTGTAGATATATGTGTGTATATATATATATCACAAGAGGCTATAAGAAAATACACTAAAATATATCAAAATATTAACAGTGGGATTGAGGATTGGGATGGCGGTTAATTTTAATTTTCTTTCTCATCCCTCTTTTTATCTTTGGTACTTTTCTAAATTTTCAGCAGTAGGAAGGTGTGGTTTCATTGTTCATTTTTTTTTTTTTAAACAACTATGCTTCTCTTCATTTTTTTTAAAGATTTTATTTATTTGAGAGAGAGAGAGAGAGTGAGCATGAGCTGGGGTGGGTGGTAGGGGCAGAGGGAGAAGGAGAAGCAGGCTCCCCACTGAGCAGGGAGCCTGATGCGGGACTCAATCCCAGGACCCTGGGATCATAACCTGAGCCAAAGGCAGATGCTTAACCGACTGAGCCCCCCGGGTGCCCCTCATTGGGTTTGTTTTTAATCACAAAAACAACGATAGATATTATTTTGGAAGGATTTGGAAGGGTGAGCCTCACGTCACCAAGCAGTTGGAAGTGGGCTGGGGAGGGGTTGGGCTCCAATCAGAGGCAGGCTTTTGAGAACATAGAATTTTAAGAACCCTCTATGGAAGGAAGGGAACCATATAGATGGGGATTTATAACTTACAATACAGGTAAGTATATGGCACTGGCCCTGCAAGGGAAGCCTGTCTCACATTTGAAAGGTCACAAGTGGAGCATGCCATCATCTCTGCCATTACTCTTCCAAGAAGTCTTCCTAGAGCAGCGGTTCTCAAAGTATGGTTCCTGGTGCAGCGACATCAGCATTCTGTGGAGCCTTGGGAGAAATGTACATTCTCAGGCCCTGGCTCCAGCCCTTCCTAGTCAGAAACCACAAGGGGGTGGGATGGGGTGGGGTGGGTGGCAGACGGAGGAGGGGACAGCACTCTGTGTTTCTGACGTGCCCTCAAGCGTGATAACCACTGGTATAGAGAGCCAGTGCCCTGTCACCGGGCTTTTCAGAACAGATAAATGACTACTTGACAGGGCAAGCCCTGAGCTGGATGTGAAGTTAGGCTGGTGTCTCCGAAGTTCCTTCAGGAGCTGTGATTCTAGCCACAGCCCCTGCGTAGGAATCTTGTCTCTGCTTCTGCCAGATTTCATCTCATGATTCTCAGTTGTTTCATCTATAAAAAAGTGACTCCTCCGTTAGGGTAGTTGGGGGTGCCAAATAATGGTTTGGCACATGGTAGGTGGCCAGAATGCAAGTAATTGAATACTCAGAAACTTCCAGAAGCAATGATACCAGTGATAATGTTAGCTAGCATTTATTGGTGCTTATGTATTACATGCCGGGCGCTGTGCTAAGCAGTTTGCCTTGTAACAATTCAGTGAGGTACTACTGAGCCTACCTCAGAGAGGAGGAGAAGCAACACAGGACAGTGGTTAACTATGTGAACTTGAATGAGGACAGCCTGGCTTCAAATACCTGACCCTGCCATTCCCTAGCTGGTGACTTTGGGCAAATAACCTTTCGGTGCCTCAATTTCCTCATTTGCAAAATAGGAACTAACAATGTCTCCCTTTTAGGATTGTTGGCATTAAATTGGTTATTCTATAGGCTTCCTAGAATAGTAACTGCCACATGGTAAGTGCTATATGATATTATGAAAAACTGAAGCTCTCAGAGGTCATTGGCCAAGCTCATCCATATAGCTGGTGAGGCGCTAAGAATCAGGCCCTGGGCTGTGTGATTCCAGAGTGGACTGTCAACCACAGTACTTGAGCAGACTCAGCTAAAGGGCTGAGGGCCCAGTCCTCCAAAGCCCTAGGGGCCAGGTAAGGAAACTTGTTGGGTCCTTGGAACCCAATGGTGCCCTCATACAAGTCAGAGATGTGAAGGGGAAGCATCTATAATCTGCCTGAACATCTCTCACTTCCAACCAGGGAGCCCTGATGTATCCTTATGCCCTCCAGGTTCTCACTTGGGTGGGGATATTCCTTCCAAGCGGAGACAGTACACCATACCCCAGAGTTTTTCCTTTCTGGGGTCAGGGAAGTCTCAAGAGTCCTCCGAGTCGTTTAAGAAAACCTCAGTGGTGACATTGTACTATGGTAATGGTACTAACCAAAGACATTACCTCTGGGGGGAAATTAGGCAAAGGGTACAATGGGATCTCTCTGTACTATTTCTTACAACTACATGGGAATCTGCAGGTATCTCAAAAACGTAAGTTAATTTATGAAATAAGTCAATCAGAGAAAGACATGTACCATATGACCTCACTGATATGAGGAATTCTTAATCTCAGGAAACAAAGTGAAGGTTGCTGGAGTGGTGGGGGGTGGGAGGGATTGGGTGACTGGGTGATAGACATTGGGGAGGGTATGTGCTATGGTGAGCACTGTGAATTTTACAAGACTGTTGAATCACAGATCTGTACTTCTGAAACAAATGCAATATATGTTAAGAAAAAAAAAAGAAGAAGAAGATAGCATGAGGGGAAGAATGAAGGGGAGTAAGTCAGAGGGGGAGACGAACCATTAGAGACGATGGACTCTGAAAAACAAACTGAGGGTTCTAGAGGGGAGGGGTGTGGGGGGATGGGTTAGCCTGGTGATGGGTATTAAAGAGGGCACATTCTGCGTGGAGCACTGGGTGTTATGCACAAACAATGAATCATGGAACACTACATCAAAAACTAATAATGTAATGTATGGTGATTAACATAACAATAAAAAAATTATTAAAAAAAAAACCCGTAAGTTAATTTAAATAATAAGAAAAAAGTCCCCACCGTAAGTCTTGCTGCGTGAGTCCCTCTGAAAGGGACTTCTTGGCATATGGTTTCCATGTACTTGCATTTGGGGCTAAAATACACAGAAACTCAGAATATCCAAACAGCCCCTGCTAGGGGAAAGGCCATGTGGCTCTAGAAAAATGCCCAGCCCCCACTGGACCATGCATTATTGATGACGACCTTCATTGGCCTGGGACAACTGCCCTCCTCCTGTCAATAAGACTGGCTTCCATCTTCCTGCTGCTCACCAAACTCCCTGGACAGGATGAGTTTGAAATATGAGCATTTAAGCATGATAAGTTAGACACTCAGGAAAGATGTTTTTTGGAATAATGGCTGTCTAGGAGCAGGAAGCCCTCATCAGTTCTTAATAAATCACTACTAATGAGCATCTCATGTTTCCACCGTTTTGGCTTCTCATCTCATAGTGACTCACACCTGGAGAGATGCACCTGGCATGCTCTCCCGCATCCCTCCCCTGGAACTCAGCCCATGCTTTGGGGCTCGGAGACGGGGGATGGGGAGGGTAGAGATGAATCAGACCCAGTGCCTGCCTTCAAGGAGCTTTCCGTTCTTGCCGCTCCTCCTACCCCCTCCGCCACCATGATCGAGGGCTCCCTTCTTCACAGTGAAGAGCCTAACTTACACAAATTCGGAATAGTGCAATATAAAATATTAATAAAATCTTTTTGTGACATTGAAATGATTCCAGCCCCACCCCATCAACAATTTATCCAAAATTTATCCTAATTTTAGAACTCCTTTCTCAAGTGAATGGATTGTAAACTGCATTCATTCTATTGCTAATTGACAACACAGGCTGGTGCATAAAAATATCTCATCTTTCAGATTAGAATTGCATTTAGGGAATTTTGAGCTATATGAAATATTTGGGAAGGTACTGTCTGAACAAAGTGTAGCTATCGTGTACCTCATCAGTGGCTGCCTTTTCACATGGGGGGAAGAGGGAAAGATTGAAGCAAGATCAGAAAGGGAGAAATTCACCACAATCTAGTGTAGTGGTTCTCAGAGAGGAGGCTTGCAAGGTCAGAACTGTTCACAATAATATTGAGATGCTCAGCTTCTTTCTAGATTTCCATAACTCTCCCTTCCCACTCATAGAAAGCAGATGATCCTCAGTCAACTTCCTTAAAGATTTGAGAGATGGGGAAGGCCTGGATATAGATGCAAAGCCTACAGCTTCCAGACGACCGGTGGACAAATTTGGGGATCTACCCAAAGGCTTGCACCTCCTCCTGCAGTTGCAGCGTCTTTAATCTCCCATAATTTCCATCGCCCCACACTGAGCTCCCTCTTTTCTGACATACATAAACTAAACACAGGGGCTTCCTAAGTACATGCAGCTTCAAGATATGCCTTCTCTCCCCACTCCCAATGAGAGACTTGTGAGGGGCTGAGCCCTCCTGTGTCAGTTCTGGAGCCCCTGCTCGTTGACTCTCCTTATTCCAGTACAAACTCATGTTCTCTGAAGGTCAGTGGTTCTTTAAGATCCTCTAGTGCTGGGTGCCTGGGTGGCTCAGTCGGTTAAGCAACTGCCTTCGGCTCAGGTCATGATCCTGGAGTCCTG